TTCATAGCACTATATTTCATTGGGCTGTCATTAATTCCTGAATTCTCAGTAATATCAAAGGGTAATATTTCGTGTGTTACATAGCTACAGTTGACATCGGTTCTTCAACACAGTGAAAGAAAAAGGAGAAAAGATGGTGTGGTGTGTTTAATTTTCTCTCTGTTATCACTGTTGTGGGTTTTTGGAATTCAATGAGAACTGAAAGTAGCTGTTAGATAAATGGGAGAGATATATGCACAATTAATCCCTGAAATTCTAGAGGACTGTCTTGTCTCATCTGCCTATGAGGACGGCTGTTTTTTGCAGCCACTGATATTCCCCCAAATTCCCATTTGGCAGAACTAGCCCAGCTTGCCTCTGGCTGTATAGTGTTAAGCTGCATTTGAAAGTGGTTGTTGGTTGTATTATCAGTAGACAATGGGTATAACACAGGAAGATGCCTCTCCGAAGAACAGGTGGCAGCCATTGCATCATTCTGATCACCCTAAGATGCTGTTGAAAAATTTGATTGTGCATTTTAATTATAAAATATAAATTCTTCCAAGTTGGTAATGAAAATCATGCAGCAATATATCTCCACTGAAAATGTGAGCTGTGCAGGAACAACGCAAGGAGAATCGCCCCCTTCCCCCCCTTTCTTTTTTTCTTCACACCCTGTGCTCCAAAACTTGTGTGAGTGAATTTTAGTACCACTGAAATCAAAGACATAACCCCTGCTGATGTTTCCGGGCCAGAGTTTGAGCAGTCCTAACCAAGTTACAAAGAGCCACAGGAATGTTCCCTCTTTTGAACCATCTGACAGAAATTGTGAGCCATGGTGGAAAGGGAACACATGGGGAAATCTATCCAAAAGCAGCACAGAAGTTAATGTCTTTAATCGGAGGAACCTCAGAAAGCTTAGAAGGTAGGAGGTCAGCTACTTGCTTTGGAAAAATACAAGCTCAGAGTTATTAAGGCCTGTTTATGACTCTTTATAACCTTCATACATCAACTTCAGCCTACCTGCCAACCGAAATGTAGACTGAAGCATGCAACCTGAGGTTCTCATTGATTTTGTGATAACCTAGTTAGAAAGACAGAACTGTGGCACCATTACGATGTTTTTCTGACAGCACATACAATTCAGAATATCTGCTTAAATACTGAAGACAAGACTGTGCTCCTCTAATTTGAGATATGTGTGTGAGCTACTTGTGTGGTCTCCATTAAGGTCAATGGAGAGAAGGATACAGAGGTATGATCAACTGTGTATACTAGGATGTGACAGCTGTATCTTGATGTGCCTGCTTCTGCTTACTGACTGCAAAGGAGCTGTAGGCAGATCTATATCTAGGCATCCATCTTAGATGTGGATGTCTGCTAGGTCATCTTGTAAGGATTAATAAGAATGAACAAGATTCTTAAAAGTGACTTATATGCATTTCTAAATGCTTACTGTAACTTTTTAGTTCTGTTTTATCCCATTTTTTGCTTATACCTGTATGTTACAACAAAGCATGAGTGCCTTCCACGCTAACTTTGGAAGCAGGCTGAAGTACAACATAAATCTTCCATATTTTCATAGTACAATAGTTTTCTTTTTCCATTGTCATTTGAGTGAAACAGAAACTAATGTGACTTTTATCTTTTCAGTTTCTAATTAGACTGTTGTAATACTCTAAATATATTTAAGATTAGCATAGTAAGGATGCTTATACTAAGGATTACTGTCCCAGGAACTGCACTGCACGACTGGGTATTAATCACTACCACTCAGTGATATCATGAGATCCTTCTGAGTTCATTCTTTCTTACTACCCAACTTGCTGACATCTTTTAATAGTAACAATAGATGTTCTGCTGCATTATTCAGATGATTAATGAAAATATCTAGCAGTACCATGCAGACCAGCGTGAAGACCTGTTAACTACATAGCAGTACTTATAATCATTAGTTTTGCAACTTCTGTAGCTTTTGACCTTGGTTTCCTAGCTTCCTTACAAAAATGGTACATGGGATCATGCCAAAATCTTTATAACTTATTGATTTTACTGCTTTTACATTATTCACGGGACATGCAATTCTGCCAAAGATGCACATTACATTAGCTTAATATGATTTATTCATAAAGAATCAGCCTTAGCTGTTATTTATGTTTAGTGTGTGCTACCTTTGTGCTTACAATTCTGCTTGTACTTTTCTATGAATCGATGTTGATTGAAAACTCCCCTGATTTTTTTCTCCACCTATTTAAAGATATGGCCTATGTTTCTTTTTCTAGTCATTTGCTATTTTGTTTTCCTTTGAGGTCCTACAGACAGCAATTTAATTGCTGTGAGGCCAGTTCAGTCTTTAACCATGTTTGCATGAAATTCAGGCAAACTGTGCAGTCTGAGAATATTTAATTTAGCTGAGAGTATTTAGTTCCTTCTCCTTTAGGCTGAACTCCTATGCTGTTCATAAAATCTCAAAATAAATTGGGTGAATACCATAGTTAGTCTTTTTATTCCTTACACTTTACTGAACCTTTCTGCTTTCCAGTGTCCCATATCAATAGTTTTCTCTCTGTCTTTAGTAGTGGAACCATGCTATAATTCTTTTTCTTCCCTTACTACTAACAAAGTTTTATCTTGTTACACTTGGTATCCTCTGTTTTCTGTATTAGTCTATTGCTTTTTTGTTTGTCTGTTTGTTTTGTTTTGTTATTTGTTGTTGTATGCTGGTGTGCTTTTTTTTTTTTAGCAATAAATAAAGGAGAGGAGGAGGGTCACACTTCATCTCACCCAGATCCCTTTCTCACTCAGTTTTTCCCTCTTCACAGAGTCACAACATAGTTGAGATTAGATGAGGTCTTCTGGAGTTTGTCTTGTCCAACCTGCCACTTAAACAGGGACATCTAGGGCAGGTTGCCCAGGACCATGTCCAGATGGCTTTTGAAGATATCCAAGGAGGAAGACTCCACAATCTCTCTGGGCAACCTGTGCCAGTGCTCAGTCACCTGCGTGGTGAAAAACTGTTTCCCAACATTCAGAGGGAACCAGTTGTTCCATTTTATGCCCATTGCCTCTTGTTCTGGCACTGGGCACCACTGAAAAGAGCCAGGCTCCATCCTCTTTGCATCCTCCCTTCAGGTATTTACACACATTTATACACATGGATGAGATCCCCCTGGAGTCTTCTCTTTTGATGCCTAACAGTCCCATCTCTCTCAGCCTCTCCTCAAAGGAGAAATGTTCTAGTCCCTTCATAATTTTCATGTACCTTTGTAGGACTCTGTCCAATATTTCCATGTCTCTTGTACTGGGAAGCCCAGAACTAGGTGCAGTCCTCCACATGTGGCTTCAGCAGTGCTGAGCAGAGGGGAAGGATCATGTCCCGCAACCTGCTGGTTGTACTTGGCCTAATGCAGCCCATGATACCATTAGTCTTCTTTGCAGCAAGGGCACACTGACGGTTTTCTTGACTGGAAGCTAATCTATAAGGATTTTCTAGTTGTTTTCTTCCTGTTTGTGTATATAGCAAACCTAGAACTTACTAGGTGCTTTGTACACTGATCTATTCCCTTTCCAACTGATTTTAAAGCTTCCCATTTCCACCAAATACAGTATTTTCCTCACAGCACATTTCTGTTGGTTTCCTTCTGTAATTATCACTCAGTTTCTGAGCTTAAAATCCCAGACTTGAATTCAAATTTATATACCTGAAAATGTATTCTCCTTTGTTCCTCTCTACTTTTCCTGAATACACTGGAGAAATAAGGATGAAAAGTAAAAATGTAAGTTTTTTCTCTCAGGCAATAGTAGTAAGATGTACAAATACAGAAGGGGGAAATTATGATAGTTCTGCAGATAACGTTCTGGAGATTTCAGGAGATCAAAGCCTGAACTGATGATGTGCTGTCCTTTGCAAGAGAGGTAAATGCCGTACTGAGGTGTGTGAATGGGAAAAAAACTCCAAGACATATGAAGTAATCTCTTTTGTTCTAAGCAATGCTTTTGGTTTTACTCCAGGATTTTACTCCATGGCTTTACTGGGGTAATGCACACATATTTGGGAAAGCATCACCTTACTGGGAAAAGTACAAGGAATAAGTGAGAATCAAAGGTCTGGAAAACATATTCTATCATGAGAGTAAATAAACAGGGATGTTTATTGAAAACAAAACTGAAGATATTAGAATTATAATATAATCATAGAATATAGAACATAGAATCATGGAACGTGTCAACAGCAATTTACTTAAAATTCAGGTCATCGCATTAGTGAAATTTGACCAAGCCTAAGTTATTTGAGAATCACTTTATATCTTCTCTGCCTTTAGTGACTTACATTGTTAACAACTATGCCAACACATCTTCTGTTACAAATAAAAAATCTGATATGCTTTTGTCAGCTTCAAAGAGCAGAACTAGATAAGGAAGACTAAAACAGAGAAGGCAAGAACTGGCATATGGGAACCTTATCTCTCATGTAAAATAAGGAATTGCCATGACAGTACAACTATTTTTGTGTTAGCTTTCATGACTTCTGCTAATCTTCTTCTGCTAATGGAGTATTTTTTCACAGACATTAACACTTCAGAAATTAATGGAATTGCTCTCATAAGTATCTGTCAGTTTTACTAAGTATCACATAATATATTTTTTTAATATTAAATCTCTTAAGGGGAATATTTGGGTGAATGAGAGCCTTTGTATTGATAAAATTTAAATATTAATACAAACTATAAAATCTTTAACTAAAACTTGTATGGAGTAGAAAAAGGAAAGCTGAGTTAATATTTATCAGTTTAAAGTGTGTTCTTACAATTTAACATTCACATGTTTCTGAGGTGTCCCCTGATATCAAAATAATAGCTCACTATTTTGTGCTCTCAAGTGTGATGTCAAGTGTGATATCATTGCTATCTTACAGGTGAGCAGAAAAATACTAAACCATAGTTCATAAACATTAAGTGTTAGATAAGAGCTTTCAGGTTAAATTTGGTTAATTCCCTTTACACATGCAATATGTGTCAGGGCTCTGAGGGCACTAATAGTCCTTAATGGCCCCAATCAGGCTCACCTGGCTCTACCCTGCATCCTTTGCCCATGGGCCCAGGAGCTGCATTTTGGCCTCTGTTGTTGGTAAGTCTATGTCTAGGTCAGTCTTCTATTGTTCCTAAATTATCATTTGGATTTCCCAGACTGACCTCAGACCTGATATTTTTTTCTGCCTTTGCATCATCTGGTGACCAGTGGGCTGCTTGGTGCTCTCACCAACCCAGCTCCACTTGCCTGTGGTGGGACTATGCTGTGGTGAGTGGGAATCCTGCCTGTGCTATGTTCACTCTTAGCTTTCAGCTGGTCCTCCCTCGTGGATCAGCTGCATAGCTCCTGCATGACCTCCGGATCTTGCAGGGAGCTATGGTGAGTATACAGAAGTAACATGTACCCCCTTCAGCCCTTTTGAACATCCTTGGCACCCAGAATAACCCCTGCTCCTTCCGCTGAGCTGGGGTGAGAGTGTGGAGATCTATCAGTCACGTGCAGCTGACCTTTAGTGTCTTCCCAGTGCCCAACCTAACAGATATAGGCTGATCAACAGAAACAATTTCCCAGCTCTTAATGGCCCTAGACTGAGTTGTCCTCTGCATGCGGCTGCTCAGTGTCCCCTTGCTCCAGGTATCTGATGTCTTGGTCAACATTTTGGAGCAGCTTTTGGGGGACAGTACTCATGCAACTGTGGCTAAGGCTATCTTCCTGAGGCTTTATCAAGGGAGTCAGTTGGCTGCTGACTACGCAAGTCAATTAAAGAAGCTGGCTGTGGAAACAGAATTTCTGCAGTTGTTGGAAGCCGCTGATTTCCACCACATGCACTCATTCTTTGTTTTGGTGCACAAATCTTCATGGTAAGGGGGAGTCATATTTTTGCTAAGGCTGATAATATCATCGTGCACATAAAGGTCACTTTTTGTTTCCCTAAAACAGTCTGCTCCTTTCTCAGTAATGGTGCATCTGATTTAAAATTTCAACTGTAAAGCAGAAGGATAATTATCTTTACATCTCTTCGTTCATGGTTGATTTTATTCATAAACTTTGTGACTTCTGTTCTTAATGTAATGAACTTGTCCCTAGCATAAAATCAAGCTCTCTGTTTGTTTTTGAAATGTCATAGTACAAATAAAGTTGTGCAGCCATTAAGTTTTCCCAGATATAGTTAGCTTTAAACACAGCAAGCAAAGTTGCTCGAGCTGTTACTGTGTGATCTTTACTTTTATGGTCATTCATTAATTTACATGAGTAATAAAGCATCTCTCCATTGTCAAAAAACAACAACAAAAAAAATCGTTATGATTTGTGTCTTCATTGATCTATGAATCCACTTTGCCAACTGCTTTCCATGTTTCTTTGAACTTTCCATAAACAAATTTGCCAAAATGAGGGAAAAGTAAGTTCTGTACCACACAAAAATTGTAAAGTGGTCAAACTTGAATTTATTCACTTTGGGAGCACAGGGCAGTGTTTTATAAGCTGAATTTGATATCCTGTATGCAGACTTCATTGGGATTTCCAAGGAAGCAGTATCTCAATGTTAAGCTATGATCAACTTCTATTGCCTTGTCACATCACAGTTTGCATTTATTTTAGCCCAGTAGGAACATATGGACATCTGTTACTTACCCAACTGAGTTTTTAAGGGCTTTCTGTAGTTGGCCACTGGATGTTGATACAGCAGAAAGAAGGGATCCAAAGGCACCTGGACAAGATTGAGAGGTGGGCCTATGTGAACCTAATGAAGCTCAACAAGTCCAAGTACAAGATGCTGCACCTGGATCAGGGCAATCCCAGACATGAGCACAGACTGGGAGAACACCTCATTGAGAGCAGCCCTGCAGAGAAGGACTTGTGGGTTCTAGTGGACAAAAAGCTCGATGTGAGCCAGCAGTGTGTGCTTGCAGTCCAGGGCTGCATCAACAGAGGTGAGGCCAGCAGGTGGAGGGAGGAGATTGTCCTTCTTTGCTCTGCCTCTTGTGAGGCCTCACCTGGAGTGCTAGGGCCCCCAGCACAATAAAGATGTGGGGCTGTTAGAGCAGGACCAGAGGAGGTCCATGAAGTTGATCAGAGGGCTGGAGCTCTGGGGTTGCTTCAGCCTGGAGAAGAGGGGGCTTTGGGGAGACCTTTTAGTACTTAAAGGGGACTTATAAAACCAGGGAGAGTGACTTTTTACACGGGCAGATAGTGATAGGACAAGGGGGAATGGTTTTTATATTAAAAGAGGGGAGATTTAGATTAGGTATAAGGAGGAGATTCCTTATTCAGAGGGTGGTGAGACACTGGCACAGGTTGCCCAGAGAGGTTGTGGATGCCCCATCCTTGGAGATGTTCAAGGCCAGGCTGGATGGGGTTCTGGGCATTCTGGTCTGGTGGGAGGTGTCCCTATCCGTGGCAGAGGGATTGGAACCAGCTGATCTTTAAGGTTCCTTCCAACCTAAACCATTCTATGTGACGTTATGTTGGTCATAAAGCTGATCAGAAATTATGGTTCAAAATGAACTGCTTCAAATCTAAAAAGATACCGGCTCATCATTTTTATACTGCACTTTTGTGTAGTTGTTAAGTTTATTAATGTTCAGAAAAGCTGCATTCAGTGTGGAGTTTTATTCGTATGAAAATCAAAGTTAATATTCTTCTGTAAGTTCACCTTGCCCCAGTGAATATGTATGTTGGAGGATTCTTCATAATGTGAGTGTACAAAACTAATGGGATGTGTTCTTAGATCATAAAGGAATGGTATGAAGGTATAACACTAGCCAAATGTTTCTGATGTATTTTATTAATATTGTTGTGTCTAACTTCAGGCTTCCTTTCCATATTGCAATCCAGTCAGAGATTTTAAAAATGTTAAGCTGTATATTCTTAGACTAATGCTGAATGTTTACATTTTTTTTGTCTGTTTTCTAATGATAACAATAATTTGTTATTTTCTATGTAAGACTCTTCTTTCTCGATGCTTTTCTTTCCTAGTGCTGGAAGTCATTTATTGCTTCTGGTCCAGGACACAGGGTGATCGCTTGCAGCGATGAGGAAGGAACCAACTGTAAGTGCATTGCAGTTCTACATAAGTAGCTACATTTTAGCTGTCACTGAAAAAATTATGCCTCTGAAAGTTCTGAAAAGTTGGAAAATGTCTGTTTATAGGATACAGTACTAGAATCTTGCTTGGCATGGCAAGCAATGTACTGTGGTTTTCTGGTTTGAAAATAATGGTCCTTAAGTAGCCCTACAGCCATCCTGTTCCATCTCCCCCCTCTTACCCAACTGATCTCCACGTTTATTCCCCTTGCTGCAAGACAAATATTATACACGTGGTATTTTTTGTTTCTTGTCTCAGGCTATGGAACTGAGTGTGTATATATATATGTGTGTGTGTGTGCATCTGTATCTGAAATATTCTGCTTTGGAAATAAGGATGCATTGCATTTCTATAACAACTTTGGATTGAGAAGAGTCAAAAAAGTTTTGTGTTTGCTGCCTGAACTATTTTTCTCTTTCACTAGGATGCATTAAGGGCAATGTATACTGTAGCAAAGGTAATGATCTCCTCAGACTGTTAAATTTGTCCATTAATAGCAGAAGCAAAGGATGGCACAGGTGCTACATGTCTGAATGCTATTCTCTGTATTTCTTGCTAAACCTCCTTCAGAACAAAATTTGGGTATAATTTGGTATTTCTTTTGATATGATTTTGAATATCAAAGTGAGAGCCAAAGCCATTTTCCTAACTCCATATCTCTAGATTTATTCACATTGGACGAATATGGTGCACTTTGTGACCACTCTGTCTATGAATTCAGGAACAGGATGTCGAGGAGTACTGTTTTGCCTTCAGCCCTAAAATGACCTTGGCTTTTATTAGTCTATTATATATTGTAACATGGGCATATAATTTTCTTTGCCATTCACTAAAATACCATACATCTCAGTAAGTTTCAAAGCCGAAACAGCTCAGTAATGGGGAAGCATACTCAAGCATATTAATGTTAGATGGGAAGTAATGATGAACGACTGAGTTACCTTTCTGCCTTGAACTGACCTTTCTGCTCTTGGGATGTATGACTTCTCTTTTACTTAGATATTTTCATAAGTATTGTAGGAAGTAGTTGAATATTCTTCAGCTGGAAATATGTCAAGTTAATATTATTATATGGGTGCAGTTGCAATACAGGAAAAAAAAAAGATGACAGTAAAGACTGTTATAACTGAATTGTGCAAAGCAGCTTTGTGAGTAAGCTAGGTCCACTAAGTGTTAGGTACCTAAATGGGAGTGCAGTACTAAATATTTTTATATCCTACCTTGAGCCATCCCATAAAAAAGAATGGGAAGACGTAATTGTGTAGAGAGCTACTTCACTCTCAGGCATGGTCTCTCCTCTTGGGAGTGTGCCTGGGATTTGCAGCCCTGTTGTAGGTGGGAGAGTTGTTATAGAGGAGTCTGTGCTCTATCTAATAATGTAGCTGGGGACAAACCAGACTTCCTTTGGGAGAATGATTGAATGTGTCTAGCACATTTTTCATAACATAGTGGGAATACTTTTTCAGGATGGGGAAAATTCAGTGCTGGCTGCCTTTCTCAGCTGAGAGATCATACTTTTATTTCTCATCTTATAAAGCATGCTTGTTGCCATACTAGGCTTGGATAAGGATGTTCCCCTTTCCTCCAGTTTTATCTCCACTAGTGCACAACAAGGAAGGTGGACTTTGCTGATACTGAATGCAGTATTAATGCAGGCAGCAAGTAATCTATAATAGGATTTATGTTACCTAACCTTAGGTGCCAGCAAGTTAAGCGCTAATTTTATTTAGGCTGGTGTCAAAGCTCTATCATAATCCATGATGGAGTCAGCTGGTCAGCATTGATTCATCTCACCAACACATCTGCTGTAGGATGTTAGTTGCTATCTGGTCTCCTCTGGCTGCATTGGTTAGCCCTCTCTTGACTGTAGAGGGAGCTTAGACACCTGCACTAGGAGAAGAATTTCATGCTTGGTGTTCAGCTAGGAACGTACTGGTTATCCTGGACCTTGTCCTTTCTTCCAGGTCAGCTTGTGTATTTTATCCAACACCTGCTTAATGCACAATTCAGTATAAAAATCCCAAAGCCCTGGGAGAGAGATACAGCTGCATTTGCAGAATTGTGATTTTGTTAGTGTTCTCAGATGGCTACCACACTAGCGCTTCAGCAAACTTGTGTAGGGGAACTCCCAGTTCCTGAATCCCATTGAGGCTGTGCCTGGAGAGGGTACACCGAGACACTTCTGAGCATACAGTTACTGTTTGTGGACTTCAGATCAGAGACTGAAGTGTGTGTAGTGTTTGGATGCCTTTAACATTACTGAGTGTCAACTAGAGAAGGGGATTGCAGTCTGGGGTCTGCTTGCTTTCAGTTTTGCCTTTGTGTCATATAGCACCTAACTCACCTAACATTTATTTATTTATTTATTTATTTATTTTTTAATCTGACCTTTAGAAATACAGTGTGAAAGTAGTTTTTGTCAGTAAGCAGATTTGTTTTTAACACTTCAGTTAATTTCAACACCTTTCGGCATTCTTCAGAGTTTTCTTTTCTCCTGTGAATAACTTTGTTTTATTTATTTATTTATTTGAAGTAAAGGTTATGTTAAATGGCTGTTTAAGGAAATATCCCTTCTGAGCATATTAAGACAATAGTAAACAAGTAATGTTTATATTGACTTCTTCATCTCAATTTGATAGAGCCAGGTGCACTTTTACTTTCAATTCTCCTGTTTTCACCTTTATTCATTTATGTTTTTTGCTTTCCTTGTGATGTTGTCACACTCTGAATACTCTATATCTTTTTTATATATTTCTTATTTTTTTGGCTATGACTTGCTTTTTGAAGCTTTTCTTTAATTAAGATTCCACTTTTGTTCTGCTTTTATAACAATAATAATAATAATTATTATTATTATTTTCTGTGAGGAACCAGTTACCCAATTATTGTCAATTTCTTACAGTGTTTTTTTGTTTTTTCTTTCCTTTTTAAGAGGTAAGTCTTCTTCAAAAAAACAAATGTATGTGTTTGCATACATTGCTATTCACATTATTCATTCTTTTGGGGATTATCACTGTTAGCTATTGATTAAATAATTTTTGTAAGTAATTCATCTGGATACATTCAATAGGATGAGAGACTCCCTAATTATGATGCAGAGTTTGATCCTTAACAGTGCTTGTTCTGTTCAGGGGACTTCAATCATGTTATTTTTAACCGATTAATTAAATCACCATCAGCATGCCATCAGCAAATTTTGCTACTTTGCTGTTAAGTGTCGCATTTAGTAGATCAATAATATATCTGTAAGCACTAAATCAGCTAGTGAGATGGTAGATGGGCAGAAGACCCAAGAAAATCTTCACCCTAGGGGAAACGGATTTTTTCCCCCCCCCCTGGTTTTCTGTTTGTGTGTGTCTGTGGGTATTTTTTGTTTGTGTACTTTCTTTTCCCTAGGGGATATAACTGGTTATGCAATGGGGATAAGTATTTTGCTCTGGGCCAGTTTTAGTTTTGGTCCAGGAATCGAATTAGTGTGTGTTCCCAGGCAGAAGGGCTTCTGCTTGACGGTAACTGGCAGCCTGGTAATAAATTCTAGCTCCCTTCTGAAGGCTTGCCTTTTTGTGGAGAAGAGGCTGAGAACACGGTAGTTCTGAATGTATGACTTACGTGATAAACACACATTTAGTTTAGCTTTACAGAAATACATTTGGATATGCAAATGAGGGCTGTCTGGAGCCAAGTCTAAGCTGCTTTCTGAATGTTATGCAAGGTTTACTGCAGTGATTACTGAGCATTTCCACAGTAGGGTAGCAATTTCCACTGCAACCCTTACATTGCAGGGACACATACACAAATACAGAAATACTGGAAGAGAAAAATAAACCTAGTCTGAACTACCATGGATTATTATTATTATTAAAACTTATCTCCTCAATAAAACATGAGGGAATCAGTGAAAATGAGGTGCTGGATCTTTAACCTAGAGAACTTCCAGTGTCCACTTGATGAGTAGATGAGGGTGGCTGTGGAAGGGAACAGATATCTGTAATCCTGTGGTGTAAAATAAAACACATCTCATCTGTTAGGCTGTTCCTGCTGTGTACTGGCTCCTCTGTGCAGTCTGTGTGCCTTCCCTTTCCTTAGGCTCTACGTCTTTAGCAGAGCAGTACATAGCTCCTGATAAGAGTTACAACTGAAAAATTATGGGGTGAAGGAAAGAGCTGATCACCTGCACCCTTGTTATTCCCTGCAGTTCTTAGTCTTACGAACTGGGAAGGAAGGAAATGGGGAAAACAAGGGTGGAACAGATTTTTTATTTTATTTTTGTATATCTTTCTTTCTGAGCTGGACTATCTAGATTTTAAGCCCGTCTTCTTGATGAATACAAAGGGAACACTTGATCTGTGTATGCCAACAGCCTTTTAAGGAAAGGATAAAGAGAGGTCTGAACTGGAAGCAGGAGGATACTTTGATCCAAGTAAGCAAGAGGAAGAAGGGCTATGCATTTATGGGGCACAAAAGCAATTCTTTTGTGAACAAGCACCTAAGATGAGTTTATTGCACTGTCTTAAATAGCAGCTGTACTTCTGTTCAATGTACTGCAGAACATGTTTTATTCCTCATAATGGTTATTATTTTGTCTTGTTCCCAGATGTATCCTTGAAGATCACTGCTATGCTTTTTTCACGTTTTTCTATGAACTTCAAAGAAGCAATTATTTTCTAGTGATGTTGGGGACAGGAAAATAGAGGAGCATTTGGGCATTTCCAGTTATTTTCCTTTATTTCTTTTTTTATTATTATTTTTTATTTTTTTAAGCTTTAATGACAAATAAGTTTTGGTTTAGGGACTGATGCAGACCTTCTAGATTTCAGTAGCACAGGCTGCAGGAGTGTGTGTATAAGAGAAGGAGAAAGAGAGAGGATAAAAGAGAAGCAAAGGGGGGGGGGTTGGAAAGATACTCAGAAGTTGAGAGATGTCGATATAATCAACCAAACACTAAAGATGTCACCACTTCTGAT